CGGTATATTTAATGTTAAACCAAATGATCTAGTAAGCGTGCAAAGAGCACAGAGACAACGGAGAAAATTTCGAAGTGAAAGTCACTACTCTCGTACAGTAATCCAAAATATCACTGCGTAAAACTCTTGAAGCGTCTCGGATAACTTCCAGAAATCCATAGATGAGCCCCAAACCGGAGTGCTTTGCGATCACACGAGACCTCACGATTTACCTCAGGATGGTTTTTTCATCTGAGCCAAACACTTTCTACACCCATAAAAGGTATGTACCACTAACTTCCACCAATAAGTGGGAAACTTATAGAGAATAGAACCGTGAGTATTCTTCAATTGGTAAGCTTACACGAGGTTGATAAACAATTTTCACTCGACTAGCATTTCGACGTCTCTGTCTTCATCAGAGCCGATGACGCGAGTGGATGCTCCACAGTTGCTCGTCTGCTTGAAGAAAAACGATGAGCGTTTAGCAGAGGCTGTGTGTGATGCGAATGACGCGAGCAAAGTTTTATCTTCCGAGCTTAGTAAAGTGTTTAGTTGAGTAGATTGCATGTCAACTGGATCTTTCCAAACTCTGTGGAAAGCGGAGCAGTCGGAACGCCGGCTATTATTAGTAAAAATGTGGTAACAACATTGTATCTGCTCATACTTTTTTATTTGATACTTGAACTGCCCATCCTCACTGATTGTGCAGGTCCCAGCATAATTTCTACTTTTCGGAGATTTGCTGGCTAAGCCATTGTAGTTCCTTGGAATCCAGAGGTCAGCCTGGCCAAACTCGGCCCCAATTCTTCACTACCATGGGCAGTCGCAGCCCTTATGGATCAGAGGGAAATTTACCACCAAGCGGCTTTGATACCGGGACGGTAGTGGATCCTTTACTGTTAGCTAGGCTTCCTTATGGAAACGCCAGAGTCCTTCTCAGCTTGGGAAACACTGCGAGGGGTGAATCCACCGCTGAAATCGCAGTACGACACCCAGGAACACCTCCCAGCCACAATGAGGGTATAAAGCATAGGTAGGATCTGCTCATAAAGTAGATACAATGAAAATATTTATATTTTTATGAAATAAAATATTTTCAAAAGTTCCCAGGATCGACTTTCTCTTAACCTCGACATTGGAATATGAATGTGTCGTTTTCTTGTTCAGCAATCGCGAGGTTTTTAAACAGCATACATTTACTTCCATAAAAACACAATACAATACAACGCTAGCTGACGTTTCGGCAGTATCGCCTTCTTCAGAGCCGCTTTTTCGTGACTTCCAATGAGGAAGTTTAGAACAGCTGATTACGAAGCGGCTCTGAAGAAGGCGATACTGCCGAAACGTCAGCTAGCGTTGTATTGTATTGTGTTTTTATGGAAGTAAATGTATGCTGTTTAAAAACCTCGCGATTGCTGAATAAGAAAACGACGCATTCATTTTCAAAAGTGTTTTCGCATAATGGCAAATTATGAGAAAACGCTGTTGAAAATATTTTTCTTAATAATAATTTTCTTAATAATCGAAAGAGGCAATTCTTGAACATCTTGCACAACCTCTGAAGACACTAGAATTTGTAGGTCGACCGCTCTTCTTCGAGTATCAGTTACAGATTTTGCAACCATAAGTTTTATATGATAAATCCTGATCGTCTTTTCATCAACTTGAGTATCTTTCCCTCCAATGGTCGTCCGTCATCCTAGCACCTGAACAACGGGAATTGATTCCTATGCATTAAGGGACATACACAAAAAATGGCGAAAATACAGCAGTTCAGTGTTTGCCTATTATTTACTGCCTGCTCCTGGGACAACATTTAATTTCGTATCGAATGTACCAACAGTACAACTCGGACGGAAATAAATAGAACAAATAAAAACGTTGACGATTTGCGCTCGAATCAATAGTTGAGTCGTACAGTTGCAGATTACACCACTAAGTGATTTTAACAAATGATCTTGAAAACAGACATTATCTTTATGCTTGCGTTCAAGTGAGGTGGTATTTCTCTAGGATTCTTGAACGGAATGGGCAATGATTCCACGGTATGTCTTTTCTTTACTGGAATATTTTTATTTGCAGCGGAGTAAAATGAAATGAGTAATAATAGTTGAAGCTGTCCGAGCATCATGTTCAAGCTTTATTAGAGTTAGTTAGCAGAGTAGAGAATTTTAGCAAACCGGAAAAAATGCACTATTTGTGATACTCTAAGTAAAGCCAATGATTGCAGGATAATGCTTCTTTGTTCAAAATTGTAGCGTCAGGAGACTTGGACAGTTTGATAAACGCGTACTTGCATGACGAGAATTTCTTATGTGTTGATGATAAGGGAAACAACATTTTACACATCGCTGCTGCGGTAAACATTTTTTTTCATAAAAATATCGTAATATGGCGTGGTGCGTGCAAACTTCCAGCTTTCAATTATGAGATAGGAACCAGCCCAGAACAATACGTTGGAAAAAGAATTATTTTCCATAAATAAAATGAGAGACAGACGAAAAGAAGGACCCCCACGGTGTGGTGGTGAACGCATTACCCCTTTGAAGGGGTAACAGCGGGTTCATTCCCCACCACAGACACCTGCGATCCGGAGTTTTGCAAATATCTCAGTATTATTGGGGTCGTAATGAATGATTTCACATCGAAAGACACCACACGAAAACTGAACCATTCTTCTTCCCCTTGTTAACTTATTCAGGAAACTATACTGGAACATTTGCGTATAATAAAGAAAACTGATAGGATTTGAAAGATGAACGCCGAGGAGAAATTTACACCATTTTCTAAACCATATTCCGCTTTAAAAAATGCTTTAAAGAAAATCAGTTCATAAATTAGTGACCTAATTACGGTGGATGCAACGATACAAGCTTTGTTGTTCTGAAATAAGAAACAGAACGGTTTAATAAAACGCCTCTTCTATTAAGGAAATCCTACACTAAGTGGTTTTGAGTAGGAATTGTGTACGTTACAGGAGGTTTTGTGCATAGCAGTGATCATAGTTGCATTGCAATATGTGTTGCCTTTTATCTTCTAACTCAGCACTGTGCAAAATAAACAACATGAATCTCTGCGTTGTACTGCAACGTCCCCAGGAGCGGGAAATTCAGATTCATGTATCCAGTTTGTTTACATCACAAGTTCTTAGACCAAATAATGGAATGCTGTTACTTTTGAGAATGCTTTCCTCCACCTTAAGTTCCACCTAGAGCTTAAATTTAGCCCTGGTTTCCATCCATTTAGGTTAAGTTATATAGTCATAAGTTATAAGCTAAGTTATATCTTAACTTAAAGCTCATAAATTCTGAACATATCACTTACTTCTGCAATCGAATGCTAGGAGTCCATGTTCCTACGACGAAACTAGCAGCCATACATTGTTTTGAGTCATCTCAAGCTTCAAACCAAAAATTATTCTATTGTGCTGCACATCATAAAAAGATAAAAGAATTTTGGCTTTGATCAATTCTCTAGAGATGCACGATACATTCGTGTCCACTATGAACCAAGAATTGTAGAAATGATTAAGTGCATATCTATACAATTTACTCATGGCTTCGGATTGGTGGACCAAATCAGTGTTTCTTATTTTCTTAGAGAAGTATTGTATCAATTTGCCAAATCCCAAAGGGATGCGCAGGGTTGGGAATCTCAGCGCGCAGGATTTAACCAACAAGCGGGTCTGTCTACATTTCAAGGCAGCTCTAACCAATCCGCTGCATGTGTGATGCAATACGACTTATTACCACTTAACCCTTTCACGACCGCATCCGTTTTCGCTCGTCGAGCATCGAACAGCGTCAATGGAGCGTAATCGGAATGCGGATTGAAATCATGATGTACTGTCCTTGAGCCAGTGAGAGAAACACTACGTACCGACTTCATGAGATTATCGTTCTACTTTTCGGTTCCCTTACATTTTTCTCACCTCTCTCTAGCTTCAATGTATCCCCTATGTTCTTCTGTGCATGTTCCCATGTTCTTAGACGCCTTTTGTGCGTAACTCTTGTGTTTGTTAAAAAAGTTCGTTCATTATTTAATCATAACGTGATTAGCTGTCCGCATGGCTTCTTGCAATAGTTGAAGTGTATTCTGTGTCTCTTTCATGTTTTTATACCTACCAATTGAATTCCACCATCCAAAACGGCTTTTTGTAAGTATGGCAAAAAAATACATCTGCATGGACCTCCCCAGTATAAAATCTGGGTTATACAAGACACTGATTGGCAATGAAGGGTTACGAAGGTGTTGTGTCATCAAAAAGTAACTTATCCACTCGAAAGCCTGGTACATCGAGGGCATGTCATTAGAGCGCACTTGATAAGCGTATTTATACGTTTCGAAACGTACGGCAGCATATATACTGGAACCAGGGCGCGTGGTCGCGAAAACATTAATCCATCAGGAAGCAAGAATCTGGTTCGCCACAATATCAACGTTCTCCCGCAATAAACGCGGGATAATCGATTCAACCAGCATTTCTCGACATCCATGAAGACGAGCTCTTCAAGCAGCAACCGAAAAAACGCGCCACATGTTCGAAGGCCTTTGTGAAAGGTGAATCCGAGAAAACGAATCCAATGCAGGAATTACTGGGACTCTCCCGGTATATGTGATGACGGTTCATGTAAAAAGAAATTAATGTAAAATTGTAGTGCTACCCATAACCAGAAAAAATTATTGAACCCAAGGGCATTCAGAAGGCGTTAAATATCTTGTCACTGAGCGATTTTTCGTTTCCTTCGAAGGCAACGTTTGTTCCACTACAGTTGTTCAATTTTTCGAATTGATTAGTCGAATGATCAATCGAAGCTTAATGAGCGACACTAATCGTAGTCGATATATGTTGCTATCAAGTGTAACTATGAAAGCACTGTTTTGTATATCACAATCATTTATGATCACTATTCAGTCTGTCATGTATTTGGTTTAAACGAATCAAAGCAAATGGGTTCCTATCAACATTCTACCCTGCTATCACACGAATTTGCTATTTATAGAGTGATAACAGATCAATGGCTAGAGGAGTGATTGCGTTTACTGTGTATGATGCTCTATGGGAACAAAAGAATAAGGCTGGAGAAACTCCAATTGATGTCGCATCGCCAAGGTTAGAATTCGACTATTATTTTCCGAATTTCTCTATTATATGTTCGGTGTTTTATCAATAAAGTGTAGCATATGATCTTAAGGGTCAGGAAAGACTTACTACTCATATCGATGAGCAACCCTATGGTACCTGATCATCATAAGGTTTTCAACAATCAACTAGTGGAGGAACGGATAGCGTACTGCTTATTTTCCGTTGTTATGATGAAGTGATGCCTGAAGCAATCGAAATCGTTGTTTCATTATATGTTCAGGAATCCCAACAGCAACTACAAAGTATTGCTAAGTTTTGACGGCGGAGGAATAAAAGCTATTCTGGAAGCAGGTGTAAGTGCATTTTATTAACATTTCCTCACTTTCAACATATATTACACATGAAATAAAATAATAAAGCTCTCGGCGCTGATCAATCCCTGAGGGATGCGCAATGAATTCGACTTTATTAAGCATCGTTTAGAGGTGATTGAATGCATATCTGACCTTTACAATTACTCGAGCCAATGCTGCTATCCTCCCATACAAGTCCGGTACCAATTTGCCAAGTTTGGAAGGATGGAAGGCTTGGGAAACCTGGGGCACGGAGATCGAGCTTATGTGTATTGCAGGGTGCCTCTGACCACTGCGTCACACGCGCCACACATGAAGTAATACAGACAAAACGCTGGAATTAACATAGCTGAAGTTTTCCGGAAGTTTGAAAGCAGGAATTTCTTTGCAGGATCTCGTTTAGAGTAAATACAAAGTGAAATCTGTCTTCAGTTCGTCGTATTAAATGGCTCCGCAGGGTTGATAGTGCAGTCCGTTTAGAATAGTGCTATTCTTTCACAGCGCTGACCATTTGTTTGGTGTTTTTAAGCCATAAAATTAGTCTCAGCCTGAGATATATAACTTGCTGAGTTACATGCAAAGCGAAGGACCCGGATGGTGTAGTGGTGAAGTGCGCTGCTCCCCGGTAAGGACAACAGCGCGTGTTCGTTCCCCACTGCATACACCGGTGGTCCGGAGTTTTGCAGATATCTCAGCATTTCATACGAGTCTTAGCATTATTTTTTTTTCTACAAATGTCTTTTTCTCATTTATTCAAAAGTTATCTAAGACAGTGGGGCACAAGCGAGAAGGGAGGTGGTAGAAATTCAATCACAGAGAGTTCCACACCACAACTGGCTACTTTATCGTAATACTTTTTTTGCGATATGACAGTTGTTTAAGAAGATGCAAGCAACTCGGTAGGCTCAACCTTTCATCCCTTCATCGTGTTATTCCTAGTTTGGCTTTCTAGTGGAGCTGTCAGGTGCTATTCTCTCCTGGATAACTCAGCGAGGTGATCTGTACATTGCAGCCAGGCAACCTCGAACACTCAGCCACTCAGCAAAAGTGAATTATGGTCACAATAAAAATAATAAGTAAAAATCGTAAATATTATGAAAACTTTTTGGTCGATATAGTTTGTGAAGGAAAGTTTAAAAAGTTGTTTTTCTTCGTATTTTTGTTGAGCAAGCGCGAGGTGTTACTATTCTTTGTTCACGATTAAGCTGACGTTTCGGCGGATTTCGCCTTCTTCAGAGCCTGGAAAGGTCAAGTTGATAGCAACTCACTCGGCCAGACGCCTCCATAACCAAACAAAGAAGCTCCAAACCAAGATTTCAATCACTTTGAACACAGCTTTGCACACTCACCGCTTTCTATGAGGTCTCCACTAAGTATGTCACGTAGAGACCAACCGCACAGAAATCACGTGGAAGTATAATGTACCCCTCACATCAGAAAAGCAGTTTTATATACTGCCCTATATCACGCGTGATAATGAGGCATTCTTCCCTGCGGTTCATTTTCGGATTTCTGGAATTAATCCAGAGTGCCTCGAGAGTTTTTCGCGCCTGTGTTCTTGATTCGCGTGCGAGGATCGTGACACATACTTCGAAGTCGTCCCCGTTATGTCTCTGGGTCCTATGCGTGCCTAGCGGGGTATTTGGCCTATTTTTGCCGGCTAGGTGTTCTTTCATGCGGACGCAGAGGGGTCTACCCGTTTCGCCAATGTATTCGTCACCACACGTCTTACAGGAGATCAGATAAACTATACCCNATGTCACGTAGAGACCAACCGCACAGAAATCACGTGGAAGTATAATGTACCCCTCACATCAGAAAAGCAGTTTTATATACTGTCCTGTATCACGCGTGATAATGAGGCATTCTTCCCTGCGGTTCATTTTCGGATTTCTGGAATTAATCCAGAGTGCCTCGAGAGTTTTTCGCGCCTGTGTTCTTGATTCGCGTGCGAGGATCGTGACACATACTTCGAAGTCGTCCCCGTTATGTCTCTGGGTCCTATGCGTGCCTAGCGGGGTATTTGGTCTATTTTTGCCGGCTAGGTGTTCTTTCATGCGGACACAGAGGGGTCTACCCGTTTCGCCAATGTATTCGTCACCACACGTCTTACAGGAGATCAGATAAACTATACCCAAGCTCATGCAATCACCGTCTCTACCACTGTGGCAAATTGTGCAATTTTGAGTTGCACATAGACGGTCATATAGGCGGTTACGAACTAGCTGGCGCTTAAGATTACTCGGTGGTATTTCAACTACGCTTTTGCACATAGACGGTCATATAGGCGGTTACGAACTAGCTGGCGCTTAAGATTACTCGGTGGTATTTCAACTACGCTCACCAAATTCTCTAAGCCCGCCCTTCTTAAGCAGCGTTTTATAGCTGTACTTATATCATTTGAGATTAAGGGTAGGATAAACGGGACCCTTCTATCGCTAGAGTTGACGTTTGGAGGCCTACGATTTCCTCTACACCTAATCTGAGCTACAGTTTCGTAGCCATTAGAAACGGCTATTTGCCGTGCCAAGTTCCGGGACTCCTCTCTCTGCTCTTTTCCCGTGCACACGTTGGTTGCTGTTCGAAACATGTTTCTTATAAGCGCCCTTTTCGTGTGAGAGGGGTGAGAGGAGAGGTAATGAACCAAGATATTTTTACTACTTGGCTTTCGGTACCACTTTGTAATGTAGCCATTTTCTGATAGGTGAATTTGTACGTTCAAAAATGGAAGCCATTTTTCTTTCGGCTTTTCTCGGGTGAACTTGATATACTCTGACTGTGCGTTTAACAATTCGAAGCATTTGTCCATTTTCTCTTGTGTTGAGCAAAGGACAAAGCAGTCGTCTACATACCTACAGTAGAGTAGCGGCCCGAGATCAGTCACCGGTGCTTCCACCTTAGACATAAATGCAATGGCAAGGCTTGGAGCCAGTCGTTGTCCCATTGCCAACCCTCTTATTTGAGCGTAGTACTTTCCAGACCATCTGAAGATTGAGCAGCTCAAGCATTCTTTTAAGAGTGCCATCAGGTGCTCTATCCTGAAGCCATACATGTTTATTTCTCCTTCGTGTTGTGTNGAGGCCTACGATTTCCTCTACACCTATTCTGAGCTACAGTTTCGTAGCCATTAGAAATGGCTATTTGCCGTGCCAAGTTCCGGGACTCCTCTCTCTGCTCTCTTCCCGTGCACACGTTGGTTGCTGTTCGAAACATGTTTCTTATAAGCGCCCTTTTCGTGTGAGAGGGGTGAGAGGAGAGGTAATGAACCAAGATATTTTTACTACTTGGCTTTCGGTACCACTTTGTAATGTAGCCATTTTCTGATAGGTGAATTTGTACGTTCAAAAATGGAAGCCATTTTTCTTTCGGCTTTTCTCGGGTGAACTTGATATACTCTGACTGTGCGTTTAACAATTCGAAGCATTTGTCCATTTTCTCTTGTGTTGAGCAAAGGACAAAGCAGTCGTCTACATACCTACAGTAGAGTAGCGGCCCGAGATCAGTCACCGGTGCTTCCACCTTAGACATAAATGCAATGGCAAGGCTTGGAGCCAGTCGTTGTCCCATTGCTAACCCTCTTATTTGAGCGTAGTACTTTCCAGACCATCTGAAGATTGAGCAGCTCAAGCATTCTTTTAAGAGTGCCATCAGGTGCTCTATCCTGAAGCCATACATGTTTATTTCTCCTTCGTGTTGTGTAAGGAGTAAGTGTTGTAAGTTGTACTTTTTAAATCAATTGAATGCTGCAGTATTAAAAATGCTCGACGGGAAAGTGTTCAGACGTGCTAAATTAGTTATAATATTCTATTATGTCTACTTCTAATTAAAAATATTGCTTTTTTTTAGATTCTCCGTGCGATCCAAAATGAACTCGGTGAGCACTTAATGAGTCGCGTTCATTGGCTAGGAGGCACAAGTTGTGGGGGAATCACCTCACTTGCCTTAGGATTAGGTACGTAATCGACCCGAAAAGATTTTATTGATGGTGACATGTGTTGCGATCAACGAATTACTAACGTAATTGTTGCACAAGTAGAGTGGGTGAAGGAGACCGCTTGATACGCACAAAACCGTGGTTTGATTCAGTCCAGTGTCTACATATCCTTCTATCTCTCTGAGATTGGGAGCTTTGTAACGGATTTGCTTGAGCTGAGTCCACTCTGTTCAATTCATTAGTTCCTGTAGCATATACGAGTTTATAGGTTTGCTTTCCCGAAGCATCCCAAACCCTATTATTTTATCCCTATAACGGTTGCAGATTAGTACCAGACTTGTCTGGAAGTATAGAAAATACAAAGGATGCATATAATCGTATTTTAGAGCGTAGAAATACCGCGTCATGGTGGGTAGACAAACACGATGTGTAAAAGTGATATGTCTGCCCAATAATGTGAACGTTTCCAAAACTGAATAAATGAAGTCGATATCCTCCCCGGCTTATCAGATTATGCGCCTGGGTGAAATGATAATGCTGTTACTCTTGCTCAAATACGCAAAAAGTAGCTCTACTAGAAGGAAATTGAAAACAAGAAAGAGAATGAAAGACGATATGACCAGTCGTAACGATAGGGTGAAAAATCAGGATGGTTAAATTTTCAGGTTTATCGGTAGAGCAAACCCGCCGGTTGTTTTTGAGTGGACGTCAATTGGCTTTCTGCGGCAACACTCGGGTGCTACCGAAACATAATTCGAGCGGAATCGAAGACATGCTGAAGGTGAGCTTCGGCTCGCACACAACGATGGGACAACTGAAAGCTCAGAAGTTGGTTTCTCGTTTGATTTTTTCGAAATTATTATTGAATTAGTAGCTAGCGAAGTTCTCCACAGAGATCATCAGTACACGCAAAAGGAAATTGAAAATCTCCAATTTAACATTACTAATATCCATGAATAAGCTCTATTCGATCATTTCCATAAAATTTGACTGATTCAGTTGATACGGTACAGAGCCCTTCATTGACATCTCGAGTAGCGCCACTAACCATCCTACTTAAGGAAACTTGTGGACTGTGATGTCAAGTTGTGGCAAATACTTTGGTGAACTAATGCTTCCACAATGTTTTGATTACTGGCTTATTTCACGATATCCCAAAACTTTGCCCACATTCTGGCCTCCTAAAAATTCAACTTCATATTTTCCAAAATTAGCAAAATATACGTCGGTTAACCAGCCACCTGTTAGCAACCAAAAACGAATAGACTTATAGACTGGGTATTTGGAGAAGCTCTGTTCCAGAGAAAGGTGTGCTCTTTTCAATAAAAAAGCCAACATGTTCACTTTTTATTTTCTGCCTACCATAATTTTTTACGGCATTCTAGTATAATGTGAATTGCAACCACAACGATGCCGAGATATTGGCAAACTTGGACCTCGGACCAGAATGAACCACGATTCCCTATTCCGGGGGCTCACGGACAACACATTGCACCATGGAGGCCCTTCCTCTGCATTTCTCTCAGCCAGTTTCTATTTCCAAAATATCACCATCTAACCATAATTCACGATTGTCTATCAGGCTGTGACAAAAATAATTCCTGATTTTGAATACTCAGTTGTTGAACTATTGTGTGATGTGTGTGATGCGTGGGGCTAGATGTCGTCACATAACAGAAATCGTTGTTATATTCGAGGACAGCGGTTTCAATTATTGGTGTAATTTGTAGATCTTTTGAAAACAGTGTTCTATTATTTACCTATGATTGAAGAAGTTACAGCGAACGAATCGATGTGCCAAACAATCAAAACCGGAACAAATACTTTAAAATAACGAACCACTGCTGAATATTTAACCCTGAGTCTTTCGGTAATAAAGCATGGATATTAAAGGATGAAGGACAAAGCTCTCGAGGTTGACCAATCACTGAAGGATGCACCATGCCTTCGACTTCACCAAATACCGTTAAAGGTGATTCAGTGCAAATCTGGCCTATATCTTGAGCTAGTGTCCGTATCTCCCTCCCAGACAGGTCTGGTACCGATTTGTCAACCCCAAAGCTATTTAAGACTTGCTGAGCCAGGGGTGCGCAATCGAATCCATGTGCATTGTGGGGCACTTCTAACCACTGTGCTGCAACCTCCCAGCCAGATTTGAGTAACAACGAATAAAATTTGAAATGTTGTGCATCACAGTTCCGGAAATTAATATTTACCGTAAAGCGTACTTGCTAAACGATTGTGGTTACAAAAACTGCTCTTATTCTTCGGCATGCCAAATTAAGCGCAGAACTTAACACTGAAAAACTTCATAATTCTGAACACTTATAGGTATAAGTATTTACTTAAATTTTTTTGCAGAGTTTTGGTGACGGCAGCAAAAATCAGGTCCGCTCCTCCACAACTGGTTCTATTCCGCAGCTATGCACCACGGATAACTCCCAAGGAATATGAAAAATATGGCTACATGAATCCCGACAAGATATTAATGTGGAAAGCCGCTCGCGCGACATCGTGGGTTTTTTTTTAAAACTTTATATAGATAATTAGCTGGTAACTGGTACACAGTAGCTAACTACTTGACCGTGGTTCGAAAGCGTGCTTAAGTGGCGGGCAGTAATCTATAGGAAAGTTCTATAGTACCTGCATGGTCAATAAAATTGGTATCTTTGATATTTCTATCCCTGAGCCCTGTTAGAAATATTCTTACAGCATTTCGACGCTTAGCGAAATTAGGTTGAAATAGACAGGCAAAAACAATTTTAAAAAAGTGTGCTGCTTTTCGGGCCCTTGGAGAAAGCAGAGCCCAGTGGAAAACTCTGATGCGTGTTAGGTGAAAATGGAAATTTTAATGATGACTGCTGAAATTACTCAGCGATTAGCTAAGCTACATGCGATATATGTGAATATTAGTAATCTTTATATTCACCACCTACAAGCAATGTAAAACGTTTCTCATATTAAAAGACGAAGACAGATGAGGAAACCGGCGTTGCAGTTCGCGTTTTCGGTAGCATATGCGTGGCTGAATATTTTATGTCAGCGCTTTTATCCTCCTAGACAAGTATTGCACTGACTTAGTAAGCTCAGAAAATTCGAGAGCTCGATGATACGCGGTTGAAGAAGTTGAGGAAACGAGGAAAAATGTGTATTAGAGTACCTGTCACCGTTGCGCTATGTTTAAATATTTTAAAAATTGTAAGGAAGAAATACTGGGTAATGGAAAGCCAATCAGGCGGGATTATAGCTCAATGGAGCCACTAAATTAAAATGCGTGCCGGAGTGGCCGACATGAGTCAATATGACTCAGTGGGGTGCGTAATAAAAAAAAATGGGTATCATTCCATAAAGGAGTGCTACTCAAAAATCTGGAGCGTTATGTGTTAATGCGTTTAAATAACAGCTCTACTTAACATTGTATTAATGTAAAATATCACGTAGATTAGCTCACGCTTAAGAAAATCCGTTTTTCCAAGTAAAGAATCTCGCCATTGTATCTTTTGTCAAACATAGGGTTATTTAGTGCAGCACCAATATTCTTCGAGTCCTATCATGGATTGGCTGACGGAGCAATATTCTGCAACAATCCTTGTCTGACATTGATGACGGATTTTTTTCGACTACAAAGGCTTGAAAATCATAAAAACATTGTCAGTTGATTTAATATAGCAATGAAAAATTATAATGATATTGTGCGCTAATCAAATGCACAACAATTACACTTCAACCTATTCATATCGAGGTTAGCGCTATACGATGCACGTGCTTCCGGGCAAACTGGGCAAGGGGAGTCCTATATGTTGCAAATTCTTTTCGCCAGTTTATTTTGCCTCAAAGTGCTTTTCTCGCAATTCTTTGTGATCACTCGACAGCAAATCCAACACTCATGTTGTGGTTAGTGTCGGCCGGTGAACATCGTGGAGAGTATGGTTGCATGGTGGACCATATTAACTATAGTAAATAGTAGCACACGTGCTATGAATTCGTCTAGAGTGTTATAGGTCTCTTCTAGAATACTTTCATGCTGTCAACCGCTCTGCTTCGCTAGTAGCCGAATAATAATCAACTATTTTCGAAAAACCTGTAACTATTCGAAATTAGGCGTTATCCTTCCTAAAAACTTGATCCTTCCTACGGTCATTGACGATTTAGTATGCAGAGATTAGTATGCCAATATCTGTGTAAAACAAAAGCACATAACCGACTTCTTGTGGTAGTATTTCTCTGCTTTCCAGAAGAATGTCGACAAAATCGGATGCATCATTACTGTGGGAAGCGGTGTCGAGCCTTTAGTTCCACTTGCAGGAATTGACATTAATTTGAAGTCCGTGGAAAGTTTCTTTTTCCAATTCTCGAAGTTTTTGCCAAACAAACACTATCTTACATATACATACATACATATCCTACCATAATGATGCTGATATATCTGCAAACTCCGAAACGTTGGTGTCTGCGGTGCGGACCGAAGACGCTATGACCCTTTCCGGAGCTAATACGTTCAATAACGTGGCTAAGAGAAAGACGGAACGAAAAGTCAGCATGGTGTGGTGGTGAACGCGTTAGCCTCCGGAAAGGGTAGTAGCGTGTTCTGTTCCCACCACAAATACCAACGGTCCGGCGTTTTGCAAATATCTCAACATCACTATAGTTATATTTCACATAATACCGTGCATTTCAAAAAATCAGAAAAGAGAATAGGCAGCAAAAAAAGTAGTGGCAATATTGTGATCCATTATACTTTTTCTAATCATGTCCTTTATCTGAGACATTGTACTAAGACTCGGTATAAGTTAAAAGTGTGAGCTGAATAAGCATTTTTAAAGGAAAGTTTCAAGCACTTTTCGAGACTCCAGCTTATTCTTATGGTTCCTACTGTTCGGTTTTTTGGGATTTCAGGAAAGAAATAACATTTCAGAAGTCCTTTCGCACTTGGAAAAGACTTCATGAACGTGTTTGGCAAAGGCAAAAACCTCATCACTCTTTTCCTTTACCAGGTTTTTCATTTTTTTGTCTTGTGCTTTCGTTTATGAAAAGCATTATTCCAACAATGCAGAATGTTTCTGATTATTTTACTACTGAACATCTGGATCATGCATGACGATCGGTCAAACATTTTGCCGAGGACCTATCTAATCAATTTATTTCAAGCCTCAAATATTCAGTCGGAACAGAGGCACTACTTAACTATCCCCACCAGTACCATTGATTGAGGGCATGTTACCTTTGCCTTCATTCGTCACTCATTTTTGGCTAAAAGCTAAAGGAATATGATAAGTAATAGCTTCTCGCTGGACAATTGATAGAAGGTATTTCTGGATATGGCCCTGCAATGTACAGCAAAACATTCTTCGCCTAGCAGATTCACTAAAATTGAAGTTCAATCTTTAATGGACAGTAAATCGGAAGTTGTGCTCCGCCACACCAGTTTTCCATCTAGAAAGCCCATCACAGTATCAACTGGTTATTTTTGCGTTACAGTCAAGGTAGTTTTTGGTGACATTGCTGATCGAAGTCGTTGCAGCAAGACAACGGCCTACCATTTCATAGTTTATTTGAAAGGATGTCGTAGAGTACCATCTAAATTTTCTCTTGTATGTAGCTGCCCTATCAGCATATCTTATGGGATCTTTCAATTTTTGTAGTGGTACTTAGTTTTCATGGTTTCCAAACCGCTAACTCGGCACGCTGTCTCCATATGGCCGTAGAAAGGTGCTTCCACGACACACTATTAAGCTCTAACATATCTTCGCATTTTTAACGCGCATTAAAGTTCGCTCAAATCTCGTTCTTCTGTTGTTTAGTGCACCTCGTCTCATGCGGCTGTCAGTCAAGCTCGCGAATGGGCGCATTCACTCGGTATTCCATACTTTCGATTTTCACCTCGACTCACCAAAGCTTATGATCTAGACAGCATCGCCAGCGACGGTATTTTCGACTTTATGTTCGAAACTGAGGTAAGATCTTTTGAGGTGAAGAAGCCTAATTTGTTTTTGCGGTCTGTAATGGTGCACCTATGAGGATGTAAGAGTTGTTGAGTACATACGCCACAAGTGTTAATCACCACGAGACTCTTGACACCGTCAAATATATCGCAGTTGACTTCAGCTACGAATTTTGACGAATAATTGGTGTATGCACTTCACACAAATAAACTGGCTTCGAGCTCAGTAAAACTATTGCGAATTGAAGACATTTCCCTTATAAACTCCAGTGGACCGCAAGCCAAAAAATCGCTTTGATTATTTCAAATATGGACGTAGCAAAAACAAAAGGGAAAATTTGGACAAAAGGCAGACCATATCGACTAGAGCTATGCAATTCCATCCCGATATAAATGCGAAGATCACAATAACTATCCATTTCGAGATGCAACTAGTTGTTGACGCTTGTTTTAGGTTTATCTTAGAACTCAAGCGCATGAAGACATCGCAAATCTTTGTCGACTTCTGAAGTCAATGCCAAAAGCCGACGTACAAGACTACAATGCGACAGTTCGCTGAGATTGAAGAAAACTATGGTCGTCTATTCAAGACCTTTATGAAACCAGAATTTCTAAGTTGGTGGAGTTTCGGGAAACCATTCCACTCTACTCACTGTGTTTTTGTTTGACATTTTCAAAATTCGCTTAAATGATACTGCTTAAAAATTAATATTTCATAAATTTTAATATCTTCCTGAGACCATCAAGTACATCTCATGTAATATGTCACATCATAGAAACACAGTTAATAAACCTGTTACTACATAGGCATTTATTGATCAAGATTCCTTACAATCAGTGCGATGGCAGATAACATTATTTATAATGAAAACGAGAACAGTTGGTTTCATCGTAAACACAAACAACTCACCGCGTTGGCTACATTATATATGATGCGAAAATAATAACAACCATCAACTTTACAGTAGTGGAATTGGTCGTCGGTTACACAACATGCCCTGCCACGCAAGTTTTCCTTCTCGTATTGCCAGATCTCAGACCTGGGTAATTAAATTGTTTATGCAACGGTGTTAATCAAATAGTAACACTCTAGAGATCGTAATGATATAGGGAGCAAAAGGAAACGCTAAAAATGGCAAAGTAATTTCTGAAATAGTGTTTAAGTGATATGAGGGGAAACCATAGTGCTATAAATCGTCAACTATGAAAGAAAAAAATGAAGGAAGTAGGATAGAATACTTGTATACGTACATAAATCACTGAGGAACCTTATGGTGTGGTTAGCATATGAAAGGAACATACAGCACTGCCGCTGACAGTTTATGAAATCGTTCTTAGAACACTAAACATTAGCCCAGGGGAACGGATTCCTGCCTACTTTGATAGAGACTGGAGAAAGGTTGGTCTTCGACTAATTCTCACAAAAACGATGTTCACGAAGAAAGGATTGGTTACCTATGCCCTATTCATTGTTAAGGGAATGAATATCTCCGATTGACCAGTTGCGTCTATCTAGGACGAGAAATCAACATGACGAACGACTTAGCTCCGGGGTTGAGAGGAGGAAAACGAGAGAGCGGTTTGGGAAGATTTCAAAAACATCGAGGATACAGTGAACAGAAAAAGAGATCTTCTACTCTTTAGCCACCTTTTCGATTCCACGATTCTTTTTACGCTAACGTATGCGTCAGAAACCTTGTCGTTGCGTATGCAGGATGAAAGATCACTCGGCGTTATTGAACCCTCATTCGAAAGAGTGATGCGGGTAGTATCCTGTCTCACGCAAGTAAAGGAAGGAATCTGTAGCTTCGATCTCTTTCAACGACCAAAAATCAAGATGCTGTGCTATGCGTCAAGGAGGCGAATAAAGAGGGTGGGATCGTAATACGTACTAACGACAATCGATGAATAAGAGCCGTTAATGACTGCATTCCTTGCGATTTAAAAAGTACTGGAGAAAAACCACCGACTCCATAGCCGGGATTTTTCAAGGAAATTTTAGAAGAAAAGTATGATGCTGAACGATTCCGTGGAGCAAGCAGAACGCACTGGGTCACCCTAGCACGTGACTAGGAAAAGTGGATGATTTATTGGCGCCCGCTGAAGTCACTCGTCGATCAACCGGATGACAGATGATACAGGTGATAAAGGTGGTACAGGCTAATATCGTTATAGAATAGTGCTATTTTAGCTTGGAAGTTTTATATAGCATGCGAAGAATTTTTGTGTACTAAGTGGAGAGAATGTGGCTGCCTAGGGCTTCCATAACTGCTGCTGTATCAGCTGAGTCAAAAGCTTTCCTTAAATCACTGAAAATAAGACAGACCGGCCTCTTGCACTCCCGCGAAATATCAAAGAGTCTTGTCGTCGTGTGGATACGGTCCATCGCACTGAATCCTTTTCGAAATCCTGCTTAGTGACACGGTCGTCCTTCGTCTACTCTTATGGTAATCCTGTTCAGGATGACTCGAGTATGAGTTCATAAACGAAAGACTGTAGTTAGGCTCGGCTCTATATTTCCATATCGTGGGAATAACCCTTTCTGAAAAATAACACGGTTTTGCTCTTCTTTCACTGGGTAGGAACCTTGTCTTTTGATAGGTAACGTGTGAACGGTCGAGCCTGTGTTTTATGAGATTTGGTAGAATTCTCCTCAGGCATGTAGCACAAAATTGTAAAAGTTAAGCCAATGAATCCGTTGATGTTTACAGTCATAGG